AGAATCAATGTAATATTAGATGATAAGAAAATATTGGTACCTGGCATTGATTACATAAACAATTCAAAATACTGATTTTTCTTGTCATTTTTAGGGGAAAATCTTAAATAAGAACTCCAAATTCTAATGTAGTTCTCATATATTCTTGTATATATAGTTGGAAAATCATTTTTATTTCCCTTTTGATGGATCACATTCATCATTCTTTTTCCACAGCTTGAAATATATTTTTATCTTACAATATCAAGGAACAAGAATAGTTGGAGCTTAGCCTAATTCATATAAAAAATTTTATGTTGGGTTAAAGTATGAAAATTTCGAACCCTTGAATATAGCTATCTTCCCTTTAATCTTTTTCACATTTAAAGAATAATTATTAAAAGTTTAATATAGATTATGTGTAGTATATTATTCTCTTTGTTTTAAATTAAATATAAGTCATTTAACTTTTTTACATGTAATTTTATATAATACTTTTTTTATAATATATGATTTATAGTTGATTTTATATATATATATATATATAATTCTTATGAAATGGTTTCATTTGATTAAAAAAATTTTAATTATCATTTATATACTATAAAAAATATTTCTTCCCTCTAATATCATTTATGTAACTTTGGGGTTAAAGGAAATTTGAACCCTTGAACATATCTAACTTCCCTTTAATCTTTTCATATTTAAAGAATAATTATTAAAAATTATATTATAGTTTTTGTGTATTAAATTATTAACTTTTATTTATTTATTTGTAACTCATAATGTTAAATACATCCATTTATCTAACAACATATGAAAATGATATAATTATATAAGAAAGTTATAAAAAAAAATTATCTTTTTTTGAAAATTATATAAAAAAGTTATAAAAAAAAGTTATCTCTTTTTGAAAATTATATAAAAAAGTTATAAAAAAAATTATCTCTTTTTTAAAATTATATAAGAAAGTTATAAAAAAAATCATGCGCTAGGTCGCTACCCCTCAAAATATGAGGGTACAAGTCTCTTGTTTCCTTCATAAATACCCATTGCAACCTTTAATTGGGCAGACTTGAGAAGAATGTGAAAGCAAAAGCTATTTTCACCCAGCAATTTTCTATTCTGTTGTTTCTACATGTATAATTACTTAAAAACAACTTTTGTTTGCTTCATGTGGTGAAGTCAAG